GTCGGTGGATATCGATTACCCTTTCTAGAGTTTTCGCTTCTTTCCGTTCATAATCCGGAAGAACAAATAGCTGCGCCATTTCGCTTTTGTCGTCGCGTTGCGCTTCAATGCTATTTCTCTTGACCGGAGAAGATTCACAATCTTCAGGTTCAGATTGTGAATATCTTCAAGCCATCACTCGAAGCCCCCGGGATCTCCCAGGCTGTCGTCCATCCCTCCCTCCGGAACGGAATCCACCATGCTCTATTTCGACCCCGACGTGAGTCGAAGGATTCTACCAGATCCTACACACTTTTCAAAGAGCGACTCGGTCGAGCAGCTCCTACTTCTGCGATTCATTTCGACGGAGACAAGGAAAGTTATTCATCTTCATTTTTTTGGATGTAGATCCCTCGATCACTTTGGCATGTCAAAAAATGGGGTGACGACACGAGTCATTCTCACGAGTTCACTTTCGCTGCACAATTGTATAGATCTTTTTTTTCCGTTCAGCAAACTGTTGGACAAACCACGTCTATGTCCCACGCGTTGCGGGTTTATCATTTCCAGACTTGGACGGTCGTCATTAAAACTATATGCTGCCAGGGCAAGACGGAACTGAACTGACGATAACATACGACTTCATAATAGTTTCATTGTTGGCTTGCTCCGGTGGGTCCTTTGTGTCCGGCGAGATGAAGATCTTACCTCTTTGATAGAGAAAGAGAAGCTATCGGAAAGCGAGAATTATTGAGAAGCTGGCGATGAAGACTTGGAAAACTGGAAAATGCCTCCGACAGATAAGAATGTCCCCAGCCCTGTGGAGGAGAACTCCCTCACGGGATGGCTCGACTAAATGATCCGTTGGCGTTGTGAACTACATTCACATTCATGGAGCTGGGCCGCGGTCGTTTCTCGATCCGAGCCTCTTGAATCCGTGTCTCCATTACTCTCAACCAGCTCTATCTCCCCCGGTCTGATGACGAGTCTCGACAGTGGGTGCAAGCGAGCGTTGCTCCGAAGCAGGAAAGTTGTGTCTGAAGATTTCGACCTTTAGAGAAAGAAAATGACTCCTCATTTTCAAAGCCCATTCTCTGGTGCCAGGTGGTCCAAGAGCTAGGAACATCGACAACAGCTAACACGATGAGATTTTCGCCTGCAGAGATAAACTATCGAATGATGGGACCCCATCCCCTGAGATTCGTCATTGTACACTGTCCCGTAGTATAAAGTTGAAAGCACGCAGCTGAGAAAAGCACAACATTGGGAGGGCTTCCGAGGAAGCCCGTCTCCAGAGTGGACGACATCGGGGCCCTATTCTCAGGCATCGGCACCGATTACTCAATAGTATCTCAGATGATATACTCCAGGAAGTGAAAAGCAGGCGGGCGCTGGGCGCCGTGGAACAGTTAATTGTTCTCATCAAGCGAGGATTACAGTAGGCATTGACCCTTCAGGGCACTATCCATATAGCGCTGTATTATCGTCGTTCTCGATTCGATGTGGACGATTGTGCGATTAGAATATCCGAATCCTTTCCGGTGACTCGACCAGCGGTACACTGGTTTGACAGTATGCCGTCGTATAGCTCCAAACAATCCAAAGAGCTCAACAATGCTCACTTCGGCCGATGCCCGTGTGACAGCCGCCGCAGCGACGCATCTGTGAACCCTTGCATCGGGATAGCTTATTCCCGAAGACACGCGCTCCTTTGTCAAGGGCGTGAGTAAACGCATAACTTTCAAGCCAGGCGAGATACGTCCAGGAGTGTCGGTTTTTTCAACTCGACGAATCTTCGGCTCGAGTGAAAAAACTGGTTTCTCCTCATACCGACACCAACGGTCAAATATTCTGGAATTACGGGTCTTATCGAGAAATGCATTCGTGTCCCGGCCGTCGGGAAGAGGTTGCCAGGCGACTGGAGAGGGATCGGAGCTTCCCAGAAGCCAAGCTCGAGGATTCGTCTCGACGCAAGCGCAGGCGTAAGGAGGGGAAACCCCTCGGCTTCCCGTCATTACCTCATTGAGCGGACAAGGCACGGTCAGAGCTCCTCCTTACGGAAGTCGGAACTCTTCATTCCCGTACACCTCGATATCCGGAAGTGACAGAGGTTATGATTTATGATCCATTCAATCAGAAGGTTCTTCAATCCGTGAAAAATGAACGGAAGCTGAAAAATCGGATTACCGGGTGACGGACCTTCTCAAGCAGGCGTCATTCAGCCTGAGGAGGAAGAAACGTCGATCGACGGCCGTAGAGGTTGCAGGGGAGCGGGTGATGAAAGAATCCGCAGAAAGTCGGTCAGAACTTTTAGGAGGCGGCGAGGTCATTAGCATTACCGACGACTTCGTGATCGTCGCCAGCGCCGGATCATGAGCTGCAGCCGCATTAATTTTTGAAGTCGAATTCCATCGAAAGGCTCACATATGCCCACTTAGGCTTTTTTCTGTGGTTCACAGTGGATATTTATATTTTTGAGCTTAACCCGATTCAAAGGTCAGGGATGGACGTTGGAGGAAATATTTTTCTGTCCGACGTCGCGCTCATTGTCCAATCACCGAAAAGGTCGTTTCTTCGTCCAGATGCCTTCCCGTCCATCCGTTTGACTGACTGGCTGACTGACTGACTGACAGTCTAACTGACTGACTGACTACCTGCCCGCCTGACTGACCGCTTCCCTCCTGCGTGCGAAAGTTGACCAAGCACTTGAGAAAAATGCGAAAGGATAGGCAGAAGCATGGGGATCGTCCTCGGTCTGAGAGCACTCCGCTTGCCGCAGTAATTTTCGACAATTGCAATGGTAGCAGGAAAAAACGCTTCAACGATTGCTACCATCTTCGCTGCTGTTAACAATGCGATTCACATTGCCTAAATCCGGACTCGCTCCTGTCCGCGGTACATCTATCATCGTCGTCATTGGAAAGCATCGGCCGCTGCCGCGTGCGGCTGTCATACAGAAAAATAATTTCCAAGCCCTGATTGGATGATTCTAGAACACTTATAAGAAAATTGTTCTTGGAACAGAATCGCGAAATCGAAATTCACGAATAATTGCATCTCGGTTCATGTTCGTCTGATTCACGTGAGGTGAGATACAAGAGCCTAGAACGAACAATTGAGACTCGACAGGATCTGGCGGTTCTGACCGGGACACGACTTGTACTCTGACTCGTGGGACGCTCGGGGCTTAGGCAGTTACGCTTCCATCAATGTTTCCATTGTAGCGATCGATCAGAGGGGCGAGGTTTATGCAGCTATGGAATTTCGGTCCAAAACGGAAACACCTTCATTACTTCTAGAGGGAGGGCCCCGATTTCGGAAAGGGATCTAAGCCGCCTGCCATCATGAACGATCCTCCGACCAACAAGATCCAATCGTCGTCGACGTTTCGATCCCTTGTTGATCCGGAAGAAACTCATCCGAACCGACTGTGCTTTCGAAGCTCAAGCCAGACCCATCCCGGGAACTTCAAACGCTCCCTAAGACTACTTCTCCATCGCCCTTCAGCGATCGAAGAGGATTCTACTTCTGAGCTTCTCGCCCATCACCGAGAACCTGATCCTGACTGCAGCGAGGAGGCAAGTTCGTCGATACCGTAAGCTGACGTTCTACTATCTTGCACCGGCCGAGCCAAAACGACGAATTCCCGATCTGACCGAATCGAACGAGGTCCTTCTCGCAGAAATCGGGGGATCACATCCAAATAGGAAATTCATGGACGATGAGCTTTCAGTTGATCACATTGGCCAACTTGGACTCGTGTTAAACTGGAACGGCATTCCGTTTCTGACAGATGCTCGTCAATGGGTATTTTCACTCTTCGCTCTGCGGAAGGCACCCCAGCTACGTTGGATTCGATGCTCAATGATTCTGCAAGGAAATAAGGAGCTTCGCCCTTTCAAACCTACTCACTTCTGCGGAACGTTGCGGTATCGATCAAAGTCCCTACCTCGACGTCTCCGTACTTGATCACGAACATTCAATTTTTATTTGTTGGGAGACGAGCAATCGATGATTTGATTTTCTTCAAGATTCTCATATTTCAACGCACTATCGCAAACAAGAGGTATCTGAATCATCGGTGATTTTTCCATTTTTGGGAACAGTGTTTGCTCTTGTCAAACGCGAATGCGCGAGGTCGCCAACTGTCAGACTCACTGCGGTCAATCAATGTCATTGTTGACTCGTCTCCGTTCAGAACTCAACCCGTAATTTCATCAGCAACCTCTCGCTAACAAGCTAGAACAATAGTTCTGCGTTGGATGCGGTGCCCACCTCAACGCTCAATACAATAATTGTAATGGTCAACGGGACTTCAAGACCGCGATGAATGAGGGAGTACTCCCCCGTCGGATGCTCAGGACAGAAAGAGGATGCAGACTACATGTGCACAGAATCGCATTGAGTTTCTCAACTAACGAGAAATTTTGGAAGGGAGTAAAGACCCGGGCAATCGGTAGAAAACTAGAAGAATGATTCCTGCTTGAACAAAAATATATTAGATTTTATTCCCACACACTGGAACTGCTCGAGACGACTCCGATGGCCGTCAAGGAATGACTTACATTGATACAAAGCTTCCGTGAATCGGATTCGAGTCAGAGGCACAGCCATTCTCTCACTAGGTAAGCCTGACGCAATCTCTCTAAAGAAATTATGACGGATTCAGCATTCCTGGTTTTCACAGTCCTCCGCAGGGAAAAACAAAGGAAAACAAAAACAGTCCTCAATCTAATCACCGTTACTAAAATATTCAATTAGAAAGCTTGAAGAGCCCAGCGGCGGATTCCTGTACATGGAAGTCTGTACATAGAAAATTCGGGGGTGATATCTCCGATGTTTCATGGAGAGATGGTCTTCTGAGCTTGATTCATGAATTGTTGCAGTCACTTGCAGACTCCTTCTGACTGTCGCGTCATTTGTTCCCTATCACCGGCGACCAGCGCGTGGACTGTGATGCCATCGACGTAGGACATGATTCAAATTTTATAGTTTCAATCTCCGAATGCCTGTCCCGACCCCTATCGATTGCTATCCCTCGAACGGTCACCTCGATCGCTCCTCCTATGATTTGAAGACCTCCGGAGATCTGGACTCAAGATCCCTCCACGGGAACCTCCCGACAGCACTGAGTGATCTGGAATGGCGAGTTTCTGAGTTTCGGGGACTTCGGGAGCTCGAAGACATTTATTCGGGATTTTCGCAGGGAAAACATGAAGAAAACTTTTAAGAAACAGGGAAAGTTCCGGAAATCGGGATGAAATGAAATGAAGCGAGGAAGCCGGAGGCCACACGGAGAAGATATCGAACGCGAAAGCGTTGAAGTGGTGGTTGGTGAAGCATTCGAATGAATAAAACTCAATCATCGATAATTGTGTTTTCGGCAAGTTGATCCGTCTCAGTGAACACAACAGTTGTGATCGGATATCCGAGCATGGCTCTCATTCAGCTTTGATTTCGGGATACGTTCAGGATTGGGTGACGTCAAAATCGCTCAAGGTGTGAGCGTCGAATCGCAACATAAGCGTCGGAGGCTTTGCTTTCAGATCCAAAAAAAAGAGATCGACCATTAACGACAAGGGTCGACTGAACTCGCATTCAAAGCATTCCTAGGATCGGTGCCGAGGACAAGCCGAGCATGTCATTGGACGGGTTTCTGTGCTTGGATTGGTTGTGCGGTTGAAACACACCATCACTGCTGCACTTACTGACTGACTCGCTCTGAGTATGGTCATTGGTCTCGGCCCGAGCAGCTTCTCGACGCGAGGACTTCTTCAACTCGTCACTTTCGCTCCGTCTAGAGCTTTTTGTCGACTTACCGACCTTCGGACCGTGTTTGGCTACTCGTGACAAATGTCCCATTTCGGGATTGAACATGTTAGTTTGAGCAGCATGAAGCCAAAGGGAGAAGAAGACTACACTTTCATCAACGGACATAGAGCTTCATTTAAGGGAGCAGCACAGATTGCTCGTTCATGTTCGGAGAAAGAAGTTCATAGCCTTCGGAAGCTCACCTGAACTGTGTCTCGATGAAGTTTGATAGAGAACCGACGGGAGCGGAACAGGTGGCGTTCTCCTCGCTCCTTCGATATAACGTGGCATCGGAGGTGACGGGAGATCTGCGAAATAAATCGTATGAAAAGCGGCTCGCACGGTTGAGGCGTTGAAGGCAAACAAGAGACCGATGAATGAGGCGGAGCCACGTTTCTGGATTTCTGTGAAATCCGCCTGGACCTAATTACCTTTCAGAACTTCATTGAGGAGCGGCACCGGCGGCAAAGCTGTGACAACTCCATTCGGTAAAGGCAGCGGTGGCGGAGGTCTCGGTCGGTCCTGCGGTAAGCTGACCATTCTTTCCGCTGTTTGCCGGTCTTTTTGTACTTGAATCAATCTGGATGAACACGAAAAATAGGATCGAGAACTGGCAGCATGCGAAAATTTTCCTATCGATTGAGCTTCTCCGCTGAAACTCTTTGCCCAGTTGCTAGAAATGGGATGAGCAATTCCGGATAGACCTACTGTTGCCGTAATGTCTGCAGTTCGCCTTGGAGCTCCTCGACGGTTTTCGTGGCGTTTTTGAAAGCCATCCAGTTGTCGTGAGCTTTCTTCTCGTGCTCCATCAGTTGCCTTTTGAAGCGTCGCTCAGAAATTCCTAGCTCTTCCTTGATTGCCGTCAGTTGGGACCTGCACAGAGGCGTCGTTTAATGATTTCCGCAAAACAATGGAAATGAAGCATCAAGGGGATGATGAAGATCTGCTTAAAATATTCTTAGGTGTCGAAGCGGAGTTTTGCGAAATAGTGGAAGGGCGCCGGGAATCTGGATGCTCCCGGAGTCTTGATGTATGCAACTCACTGAAGGGTTATGTTCTGCTCCCTATAGAGATCCAGTTGTTCGTTGATACCGAGAGCGTCATTTTCTTTTTGTTGTCGCAGAGTCTCTTGTTTCACAACGTCCCTCTGAAGGGTGAGCTCCTTATCCCTGAAGTAGTCGCTCAGAACTTGCAGCCGCTGCTCGGAATCCTGTTTCTGTTTGAGCGCCTGTTTCACAGCATCCTTCAATGACTCGACCTCCCCGCGCCATTTGTCGAGTTGTGCCTTTGCTTCGGTTGTCTCGTCCTCGAGAGCGCTGTTCTTCTTTTTCAACGATTCGTTTTCAGATGAGATCGCTTGGACATCGAGCAAACGCGCGATTACCACATCCTCGTCTTGCGCTACACGAACCAGGGGAGATGAGTCTCGTATAGTCGTAGGAACGAACGTCGTTTTCGAAGGATCTTATGGAGTTGAAAATTACGAAAATTAAAAATAAGAGCACTCACTGTCATCTGCGACTTCTCGAGCTTTCTCCAAAACACTCGATAATTTCAAGCTCGCTCTCAGCGACTCGACTTCCGACGTTGACGTATTCAACTCTTCACGGACTCTGTCTCGCTCGAGTGTGACCTCGTCGAGCTTGATCGTTAGCTCTTTCAGCCTGCGGGAAAAGAGAAGATTTGCGATAATCTAATGCGGGGAACGGGCTGCGAGAGAGGAGCTAGATAGACGTGCGTAAACTTATTTACCGCTCATCCCAAATCTGCGCTTCTTGAAACAGCTGAGCGTTTGTATCACGAAGCTCCTTGATCAGTAGCTCCTTCTCCTCCAGGACTTTTTCGAAGGTGGCTCGCTCGATTCGGAGCTCATTCATCTCCTCCATGGTCTCTTCTTGCTTCAGTTCGAATTCGTCGCGTTTTTTCTGGCACTCCAGCTCCATGTCAGAGACCGCTTCTTGCGCTTCCCTGAGAGCTTCTCGATACTTCGCGATTCCGTCTTTGGCGATGGCCAATTCCTGCTCGGCGTATGATGTTCGGGTCTGCAGGATTCTGATTTCCTCTTCGTGTCTCTCTAGAATCTCGTCCGGGACGGTTGTAGTTTGGTCGGAGCGTTCCAAGAGAACTTCGCGTTCCTTCCTCAGAGAAAAGAGCTGTTGTTCGAGTCGAGCAATGTAGTCTTGGAGGGCGCTCTCCTTGGAGCTCTGAGTGATGAAAGAGAAAAACACGACCAGGAACGATGCAAGAATTCCGCAGAGGAGAGTGAGAACGACTACGTGACTCGAGACGCCTTTCGCCTCGAGATCAAGAAGCCAGCCATGGGCTGGTTCCGGTATCTGGAACGAATGAGGGAAATCGAAAAAATTATGACGAAGATTCCATGTTTTAGACCGTGTGAGATCCAATGTCGCGCTTCCACATATTTCCTCTAGCGAAGGGATGAGTATCCTCACCATCGATAGAACAAGGCCCACGTATTCCCGTATCGCCGATTCGTCGGGTCGGGATGCAGTCGGCACTGTTTTCTTGGCAACCGCACCGGGAACGGGTTCACCACCGCAGCCCACCCCGTCATTGTGCTCGCATACTTGCTCAACGTTGTTGATTTTATATTGATCTGGTTCCTTCTACAGATGGCGGAAGAATAGAGAATGATCAATGAGAGACGAGGTGAGATAGTCAGCAAGCCATTCATCTAGCGTTAGGATGCCCAATTATTTTCACCAATCCCCCTTTCAAGCCCCACCTCGCATGGGCTTCCGTCGAGGCCGAAGGTGTCGCACGCCACACTTCTGGCATCGCTGATCCAGCGCCATGATCCCATCCCTTACCCCGGACCTTTTACCCCGACGGATACTGACCTTCTCCGAGGCTTCTGGAACCGCAGTTGTCGAAGGGGTTGCTTCGACGTCAAAACTCGGAGTGACTCCTTTTGTAGCATCAGGTAGCGACGCCGGTTCTGTCTGGACCTGTTCCGGCTTCTCTCCAGGATAAGAATGCGCCTGGGGCACCACTTGCTCATCAAGATTAGCGACCGGGGCTCCGGTGGGGGCTCCGGGAGCTCCGTGTGCGTCTCCGTGCGAGTGACCGTGATTGTGGGGATGTTCATGTCCGTGGTCGTCATGAGAATGTCCGTGGCCATGACTGTGACCGTGTGCGTTTCTCGTGTGGAAATGGGTGTGCCCGGCCGCGGTGGGTCGGATCTTTTGAATTTGTGGGGGAAGCTCTTTGGGAGCAGCTCTACCGAATGTGACTTTGGGTTCGGGAAGTTTGTTCGTTTGCGAGACGGAATCGCCATCGGCTGCAGGAAGAGCTAGGGAAGGAGAGAGAATTTCCCCGGAGGCGTCGCTCTCAGAATTGACTTGAGCTTGATCCCTCACTTCCGGAGTGGGTTTAGACGGGGCCGTCGTCTCTCCTGCTCCAAAGTCGAGTTCCTCTCCGATCTCATTCATCGCGGTAGAACTGTTAAGCAGCTCGGACAGGGAAGGCTCTTCGCCGCCATCCTTTTGAGGAGCACCGGCTTCAACGGTGGAAGCCTCTTTGGATGAGGATGGCGTTTCCTGTGCCTGGCCTGCCATCGGGGGACCAGAGCTGGCGACCGGTTGGCCTCGGGGCTCTGCGAGCGGCTGCACTTGAGGTACCAGGACCGGCTGCACTTGAGCTTGCGCGGCTGGTTGGACTTCGGCGTCCAGCTTCAGCGGCGATTGCGCAACAGGCTCGACTTGAGGTTTCGCGACAGGCTGGATCTGAGCCTCCACAACCGGTTGCACTTGAGGTTCGACGACAGGTTGCGCTTGAGGTTCCGCGACTGGCTGCACTTCAGGTACCACGACCGGCTGCACTTGAGCTTGCGCGGCCGGTTGGACTTCGGCGTCCAGCTTCAGCGGCGGTTGCGCAACAGGCTCGACCTGGGGTTTCGCGACAGGCTGGATTCGAGCCTCCACAACCGGTTGAGCTTGAGGTTCTGCGACAGGCTGCACCTTGGGGTCTGCGACGGGCTGAGCCTGAGGTTCTATGTCCGGCTGGATCTGAGCGTCCGCGAGCGGCTTCAGATCTGCTATCAGTTCACCAGCCGATTCGTTGTTCGAGACCGCCTCTTCATCGATTTCTCGTGTTGGCTTTGCCTGCTCTCCCGGAGACGTGCCGGAGGATTGAGGCGACGTAGGGTCGGTGGCTTCTGGACTCGAAGAGTTCTCTACCACGGCGGCAGCTTCTGCATTCGATGCCTGATCCGCCGAAGCGTCCGCGGCTGGACTCCCAGAAGGCAAGGCCTGAGACGAAGAATGAAGCATGAATGATCAGGGAACGATACGGCCAATACCGCACACTGATCGACCGAGATCGAGTAGCCATGCTGCCCAGCGGACCCGATAAGGTTCATACGGAACTTACATTTTCGAGGATTTCCGCAGCCGGCTTCTCCGAAATTTCTGCTGGAGGAATCCCCTTGGACACTTGACCGGATTCGGCAGTTTCTCCCGTTCCTTGCGGGGGAGCAAATCGTCAGAATTCAATTCCATCACATATATAGATCTCAGGGGCAACGACATTGAAATCCGAGGCCATTTACCGATTTCGGGGGTTTTCGATCGCGAATGAGCTCCGGTGCTCCGGATTATCTTCCGAGATCTCATCTGCAAAGCGCAACACGTCATAATCTATTATTGGACGACTATATGATCCGATTAATTGCTACGCGGTGAATCGGCGGGGACAAGGAGACGTATCTCTATCTCTCGATTGATCAAATCGGACTAACCGACGGCTCAATGGCGGACGCTATGGTGGTGTAAACAGTTTTTTTCAGGTAAGCAATGTAACCTTCCGTGGACAACTCCTCGGATAGGACCGGCGTAGGTTCCGAAGTAGTAGCGCTGTCCCCGGAAACATCCATCGGGCTCACCGAAGACTGCATTTGGGAGCAGAGCTCAGGATCTGAAATTGCGGGAGGAAAAATTGTGGTAGCTTGATTCATGCAATTTGGCTCCATGCAATCTTCTCGCGAATCAGGCGTCTCCATCGGGGCTTCATAGTGGTAAGAGTATGATTTTTCCTAATAACGTCCGGAGCAGGGGTGTCAGACTTCAATTTTTGGCGGGCCACATTCGAGCGCCGCAGGTGCCCGCGGGCCGCATTAAAAAAATTTACTCCCGCATAAAAGAAGAATATATGCCTATAGTTCATGGAAGAATGCTTTTCCAGCCTCCGGGGATCGAGGGAAAACTCGTTTGTTCGGTCTCACGGAGGGACTCATTCCACCGATCTCATTCAATTTCCAAGCACTCATTCGAAATGGTCGGCTTCGAGTATGCGGGGTAATAGTGGCGGGCCACAGAAGAAGACCCCGCGGGCCACATGAGGCCCGACACCCCTGGTCTGGAAAGCGGTTCAGTGGTTCTCGTCTGCTCATAAAATAGTAGTTATCCCCTGTCGTGGGCTGCCTCGTATCGTCAATCTCGGAGTACAGAATGAGTGATTTCGGGGCAACGAGGCTGGTTGATTCCCGGACATATAGACAGAGGGTCTAGTATTTCGAAATCCTCCAGGCGAAGATTGCAATTGGACACCGTTATCCGACATTCCATCATTGTGAGTTGTTTTCGAGCACTTATCAGGATGTCGTTTTCTTCGAACGAGATGATCCGGTTATTGGGGATATGTGAAAACTAGAGTCTTCTAAACAGCTGGAAGCGCCCTCCGATCGCTCCGAGAACGCGGCTTCATGCAGAGACTCACATCGATAGACGGCTAGCGTCAGCGCACCGCTAAAAATAACGAACTTCAACATGATCACAGTTCACGGCACTATATGTTCCATCTTAGAAATCGGAAATTCGACATCAGGCTCTCGGATCGCTATTTACAAAACAACGGTCCAGTCTCAGAGCACCGTATGTATCGTGTGCTACTCAGTTGTCGGTCTCTGTCTCTTCGTTCGCTCAACCGTGGTGCTAGTGGCGGCGAAGAGCACTGCATGGAGGAAAGTGAGGGCCCACCTCGACCGACCGCTCGAGCGAATTCAAATTTGCGCGCCAAGAAGAATATCATACGAGCGATAGCTGCGTAAGCTCTGGATGGGGATATACGTCGGGAAGTGTTGAATTAAGAGCGCCCGATAGCTTAAAGCTTCTCCTCGTTCTAAGGGAAGACCGAGTTTCCGGAATCGGAACCCAAATACGTCCCCGAGCGGTTCGTTACTCATGACCTCCCCACCGATCGCCGAAACCTCATAATGAAGTCTTGGAGCTCACCTGTGACGGAAGTTCCGTCGACGACACATCCGACCGACGGCGTCGGCTGAACCTCCTCGCCATCCTCGACCGCGGCTGGTGAGTTTACAAGAGACAGTACATCGACCTGGAATGGATGGCGAGATCTTAGTCGGGCTATCAGTTTCGTGCCTAGCCTCCCTTCTCCTCTGAAAATGGGATCTTCCCTCGATTCCGATACTCGACGTAGGAATCACCTGAATGGGGGGGGGGTAAAAGGACGCTTGACTTGCCAAAAAGAGGGCGGAACGCAATCTCCAAAGCTCAATGAATATTACTCACGTCTATCTGAGCTTCCGCAGGGATCTCCTGACGTTTGATGAAACGCTTCGCAACCAGACCCGTGCTCTGATTTTCTTTGACGCGAGCCAGGAAATAGTGATCACTCACTCCGAGAATGGTCAGCTCATCGCCTTCTTTAAAGTGTAGTTTATTCTTGTCATCTCCGATGTAGTTCTGCGAGGCCACGCCGCGCCCGATACGCCCTGCAAGAGGTTCGGCGGACTCTCAAAGACAAGACTCCAGCTCCAGATTCGACCGCCCAATAGGGTGAGTCTGTCTGATATTTCAGAGGATCTGGAATCGTAGAAGAGCTTTGCATCCTGGCAACCTCGTGCAACTTTCTCGGTGAGTTCCTCTGCGCAGCTCAGCGGAACTGGGTCGCGGATGCTGACCGGCTAAATTTGAGTGAAGCTCTATAAGGCTCTCAACGATATATATTGAAATTTAGACTCGGAATTCGCACAGGTGCAGGATTCAGATCATACACGTCGGGGAATCTCTCAGCGAGAACACAGAGATCAACAAGAATATATCTGTCGCCGACAAATGGGAAGTGTTAAATGTACTGGCACGCAGGAATGCCGTCGAAATTCTATGGCAATATTTTTCCACTCGGAGCATCCCCGAAGAGCTCGAAGTCTCGCGGAGCTGCGTTGAATACCGTTCTTAGCCGAATTCCACGCTTGGAATGACTGAGGAACCGTCCTTGATTCCCTGATCAGGATTCAGAGCCGGACACTTCCCTATTGGAGTAAACTGCTCTCGCGGAAGCCCATGATTGCTGGCTGAGTGAAGAACGGCGTAGGGCTCAGCCATAGATCAGATACAGAATTTTCTCGTGATGACAGGTGCAAACACGCTACGAGCTGCCGTGTCAATTTTCGGGTCGACGAGAATACATGTGGAGCCTTTCAATCAGCACTCTACAGACCCACAAACATTAAACGGACCTTGAGGGAGCCCCAAAGATCCGATTTGACTGGTATATCCATCACTGATGCTGAATTCCGTGAAAGATGCGGCCCCTCAGCCGAAAATGTCAAATCCGACATGGAAAGATTTCTCATGTACGGTCCAGTCCCTCCAGGGCGTAAACAATAAATTCAATCTGAAGGAGGGGGACTCCAATCGAAGCCCGAATCGCGGAGCCTTGATCTAAGACCGGCATCACCCAAGGGCCGCGATTTTTAGCGGAAGCATATCGTCAGTTTTCGCTAGCCGACCATATGCTCAGCTGTTTACCGTGAGGGAAAATATGTGTTCGAAATCGGGGAACATGAGCAGCATTTGAGCCGGTCGCTGGTGGATAGAACTTATAAGAGCGAATAAGAATGGTTCTCGCCGGCTAATCGATACAAGAAGTGACAACAAGGTTTTCGAACAGCTGAGTGAGGCTCGTGTTCCTCGACCGCTCCATTCTCCTTACCTTCACAGCGGGTATCCGCACAGCGAATCTTCGAGGGCGCTTGTTGGGTCCTCGAGAAATCGAATGATAAAATCACGAGCAGCGCTAGTAGACAAAATTTTCCAAGTGTCACCCCACCAGCCATTTTACCATGATAGGTGAGGTTTCTGCTGCTTCTATGTAGGATGTGTATCAGTAGACGACGATGACAACGACGACTACCGGAGGAGGACACGTCAACAACACGGCAGCAGACGAATCACTACGTAGTGAGGGAGTTCCTCGCATTGTACAGCGTCCCCCGTACGCTTGTACACGTGCTTGTGACAGCTCGCGAACAGATATTCATTGAGTCTATGGGGAGGGCCTGAAAGGAGACGGCGGGGTGGAATTGCACAAAAAAGTAGGCTGTCGATAATAGTGGAATATAGACAATGATTGGAATGATCTTTGTTGACTAGCTGACCGGAATCGGGCGATCCGTACCCGTATTCGTCAATTCTCACGTTCAACGTCAATCTGATCTGTTTCTGTGTCTACGGATGCATAGGGCGAAGCTCGTCCGTGACCCCTGTTCCGATTCGAGGGCCTCCGGGCGGTGTCTCCACATAGACTCATGTGACTTTTGATCCGTGCCTGGATACCGTTACCGGCTAACCACCTGAATTCCATGATCGGCGGGAGACGCATTACCGATCTTCGTCGGATCCCCGACCGTTAGGGCGCCGGGATACCCTTGTCAAATCCTAGTAATCATCTTCGAGCATCTCGCGGATAACCTGGGCACCGAGAATTCGGTGAGCCATCCAACATTCTGAGGCCCCTCTTGTTGGAAGCCTTGGGGGAGGGGGTAAAATGCCGGATTCCGTTTTCAGAGGAGAATGTTCTGGAGAGGGACATGGGGGAAGCTCACCGTAGACATCGAGGATCAGCTGCTTAGCAGTAGCGTATAGACGGGGGGAGGTGAGGGGGCC